AGTGGTACGTTACGTCCTCCCCATTCTCCCACTAGTTCACCCCTACCAGAAACAAACAGATCTACCTCCCCGGATCGTAAATCTAACACGGGCTACAGCTCGCCTGGCGCAAACTTAAATCCCTCAAAGTTACCTTCCCCGAAATCGTCGCGGCCGTCGCAACCTCTGACAAAAAGCGCTTCGCCCTTCTACATGTCCCCTCCGCTGAGGCCCAGGCCCAGCAATCGACCTCCACGGAAGGTGCTACAGAAGATGGCATCCCGATGACAAGTGCAGGGCAAGATTCCGCGACGGAGACGGCCCTCGTGGTGTCCGAGTCAGACCTCGACCCGGCGCATTTCTTGATCCGTGCGACGCAGGGACATAGTATTAAGAGTGTGGATGCGGCTTCGTTGATGGAGAAGCTGTCGCTGGATGATGAGGCCAAGCTACCTGATACTGTTGTACATGGGACGTTTCATGCTGCTTGGCCGGCGATTCTGGCCTCGGGCGGGCTGAAGAGCATGGGGCGGAATCAGGTGCATTTTGCTACGGGGCCGTCCGTGCAGTCTGCGCTTGAACAGGGGGCGCAGCGGACGAAGGAAGTTACAGGCGATCACGGGGAGAAGGTGATCTCGGGGATGCGCCGGGATGCGCAGGTGCTTATCTATATTGATTTGCGGAGGGCGCTGGCAGCTGGGTGTCCGTTTTGGAGGAGTGAGAATGGGGTTATTCTGAGTGAGGGGATGGCGGTGGAGGGTAGTAACGGTGTTGTTCCGGTGGAGTTCTTTGACGTGGTTGTTGAGAGAAAGCATGGGTTGGGGAAGATCTGGGAGGGTGGGAAGGAGGTCCAGGCGTTGCCGGAGGAGTTGGTGAAGCAGGGGAATCCAAAGGGCAGACGGAATGCGAATCAGAAGAAGGAAGATACTACTACGCAGCCATGAATATACTCCATCAACAGCGTTGCATATACTCTAATATTCCACGCGGACGTCATCGGTATTGTTGCTTGTCCCGATACGTCGCATAACTGCAGGGGTGCGGGGAAGTCCGACCCCGGACCAATCACCGCGCATCCCTATCCGACATCCGATCGAGTTGCGGGGGATCGGATGCGCCTTGTGCGCTTTCCGACGGGCGATCATACGGTTCATTGGGCCATTCCGATGCCAGTATCCGCTGAAGTCCTTCTGCAACTCGAACCTCGTTCATTAGTTCCGCCGGATCGCTTTGCGGGGTCTCACCAGCAAAGGCCGTCCGGAACGCCAGCATTTCAAATCATGGCGGCGAATAGACTCTGATATAAAAGACTGTTTGTGCTCCTTTGAAACTTATCCTGTTTTATAGTTCCTTGTTTTGTATCTACCCCTCTTGCCCCTCGTCTTGAAGTATACCTCAGTTTATCTCGACCAGATATATACAAAACTCTAGTATATCGGAAATAACATCCACGCGAACAGGGAAAATATAGAAAGAAAAAGAAAAAAAAACAAAAGCCAACATGGCCACCCACCGATTCGACCCCGACTTCACCGACAATGTCGTCAACGCCATGGGCCCCAAGACCAACCCCCGGTTCCGCCAGCTTATGACCAGCCTAATCCGCCATGTCCATGACTTCGCGCGCGAGAACGAGGTCACGGTCGACGAATGGATGGCCGGTGTCCAGTTGATGAACTGGGCCGGTCAAATGAGCAACGACAAGCGGAACGAGGGACAGCTAGTCTGTGACGTGATCGGTTTGGAATCGTACGTTTCACCTGTGATGATACACATGCAATACCTTTGTCGATCACGACTAGCTCTTTGATAC